TAAATATCGAAGATATATACATGATATTTTTTGAGAGTAAAATTATACAACAAATTATCTAGTGTCCACTATGTTACATTTTAAGTAGGCCCTTACAAAACGACTTGTACTTACATAAGATACAGGGGCTACAGCATATTTATTAAGACTCTTCAACTCTGTATGAAACTGGAGCAGTCAGAAGTAATGGTGTCTGCTGAAAGATTCTTTATCATATGAATTTACTTTTAGTCATCTATTATTTATTTCAGCTATTTTATATGCCATTATAATAAATATTATGACAGAGAAAGCTTTTATGCTTCAACTTATTGTACTGCTCTTCGCTTCCTTGCAATCCTTCAGGAAAATGTAGCTATGCTTTACCTATATTTAACGTAAATCATCACTTAGATTTGAATGAAAAATTCACTATGAAAAAAGGCTCCTTCTTCAATACCAAGACACAAATGCACTATCATGTTTACTGCCAAACTACTCTACCGTGCAGTGTTCATTTTTAAACAGTTTTTAAGCTGTAAAGTGAATACATTGCATATAGTGAAATTGCTTGCTTTCTGGCTGTTTTCACTTTCTTGTTAGTTTCTGGCTCAATAAGCATTTTTCTAGCATGAGTGCAAAATATAACCAATTGCACTTCAGCATTTTTAATATTTTTGCTCCAATAGGGAGCAGCTTACATACAAAACTAAACAAACTGTTTTCTGGTGCTATTTAGAGTAATGAAACTTACCTGGAGATATTGATAAAACGCTTTTAGAAGTGGGCATAAAATTGTCAAATACAAGATAAAATTTTTTCTTTGCACTTTTCAAAATGTTATTGTGTTTAAAAGAGGACTTGTTAGGAACCCTAGAATGGATCCACCTTCAGCTGTTTCTTCAAAGACAGGATGTTGGTGCCTAGACGTGGTTAGCTTTGAACTGCTCTTTGGGCTTCAGGAAATGCAAATACTTGCCATCCCAAAAGCACTCTTTCGGTTGGTTCTAGCTGACCTTGTTTTCACAAGTTCCAGTAGACAGCAGAAGCGTGTTCACCTCTTGTGTCTGTTCTCCTTTTGGACAGTTTGCGAAGCTGGTCTGAGTCTCGTTGTGAAAGTGGTTTTGGACACAGTTGGGACATTTGTCCTGGGGATCTGCAGCGAGGGCACCAGCTTGTTTTGCACAGGCTCTCAACAGCGCCACGTAGCAATGATCCTGTGATCTAGAAGTGAGCTCTTTAAATTTTTGTACACTCATTCTGCTATTTAGTGTCCCCTTGAATGATGTAATTGAAAATAAAGTAGTAGAGGGAGCATTAATATCTTTTGTTGATTTCATTTTAAAAATTCTGGAGTTTTCTGCCTTAGTGTGTTGATTTTATGATGTCAGTTTTAAGACTGTCTTCTCTGTTTGGGAAAGTGACAAGTCCCATTTAAGATTTCACAACATAAAATGAGGCATAATTCAGTACTGAAAATATGTGAAGTGAAATGGTGAGAGACATCAGCATAATATAATTATGACACATTAGATCAGGATTTGCAGCATACCATTAACAATCAGTTCTGACTGTGGATTACAATTACAGTTATGATGCCTTTTAGCAAAAAATGTTTTTAAGTTTTATTTTTTTAATAAAAAAACGTTTTCTTTTTCTGTAAATACCACAATATGTGCTACCTAGGCTTATAAGGAAAGAGGGAAAACATTATAACAAAGGTAATACTGAGCTACTGTAAGAAAACAAACAAAAAATCTTCTATTTGTCATTGATTGGAGATATTCTTACATTATGAAGAGCATACCTTGCAAGTATATTTTCTTATGCGTAGCTTTTTTTAAAGAAATTGTAACATAGAAGTCAGCATGGGAAAACTTGGAATGAAAATGAGTTGATACTAAAGGCTTAGCATTTCATGCTCTCAAGCTATAGTAGGAATTGATGGTCTACAAAATACTTTGGTGGAGTGAGAGGTGCTTGAATCTCAGTTGGCAAGGGAGAATCTGAAACAGAAAAGTTGGGGAACTTGCCTAAGCTCACGGTATGTAAACTGATTCCTGCCCCTGTCTGGAGAAAACACTGACACTTGGCTTTTTGCATGCCTTCAGAAGCTGAGGTGGCAAGTTCTGATCTGAGGGCTTTGGATGTCACATGCTCCCGTTTCTCCTGTGAAGAAAACAGAGCAAACGGATGTCTGTGTGCTCAGCATGTACCTCGTGTATATATGAAGGGAGGACTGTTACCATCAGGTTTTTAAAAAGCAAAAGCAGGGAGAAAGTTGAAAAAAATTTTATTTTGCCATTTGTCTTTGCTGACCTATTCAATGGAAAAAATACTAAAACCATCCTTTTTTTCCTTCTCCATTTTTCCTTTTTCAAGTCCGTTTAGGTAGAGTTTCTTGAATTTCTTAACAAATGTTTTCTTTGTCTTTTTCTGTAACTGTGTGTGTATCAAAGCTAAAAGAAAAAAAAAGGTGAAGTGGTGTTAAATTGTTTGAAAAGAATTATCTTACTGGCTGAAGAAAATGGAGTCTGAATAGAAAGGTGGTCTCATTTCATTGGTGGAACTAGTACAGAAAAAACATAATTATAGTTTGCATTTGCTATCTAACAGTCAACCATTTATCACTTTCAATAATTTATGATTTTTAAATTTCCAAATTTTACATTTTCAATATATTAATCCACAAATCTAGGCCAACCTTAGTCTGTTTAATTTCTATTTCTGAAAGTATTTGGAGGCATCATACTTTTTTTTTTTTCTTTTGGACTCTAAATATATGGACACCTCTCTTCTGTTCTTGGAATTAGTAGCAGAAGCCTAACGTGGCACCAAGAGGAAAAGCATTACCTGAGTAATATCATGTGGACTTGAATCTGTGTCCCCAAGAGGACAGTAACTAACAGCTTGTGGTATAGTCTGTTGAACTACTTGATTATTATTTTTTTGACCCCCCTTATGTCCTTGTATCTGTAGCATTCTTGTCCTTTTGCCCTTGGGAGAGACAGGAGAAGGTTTCAACGGAGGAAAGCAGAAGCAAAATAAACCCAACTATGCACACTACTTCTCTATTAAGTAAACAGCTTTGAACTGCAAAGTTGAAGAGAAGTTGTTACGGAGCTCTATTGTATAATGCAAGGCAGCATCGTCTTTCTCAAGTCTCTGACCATCAAACAGAAGAAAATATTTACCCAGTGGGGCAAAATGAATTCCAGAATGATGTGCATCTTGTGAGGGTAAAAAAAACTCTTTGTAGCAAAGTTGGGTTTAGCATTTTCAGACTCCATCAATTGATACTTCCTGATGGGAACTGAACCTGCCGAAATTTTAGTTGTATTTATTTTGCTGTCCTGATCAGTCTGGCTGAAGTGGAACAAGAAGAATTTGAGTGACATTCTGTTTAAACCCAACCTGTAAGGTAATTGTAGCGGGCAGAATGGGTGCTAGCAAAATAGAAAACAGATGTAGGGAGAAAACTACCAGATGTAATGAAACACGGAGACCAGATGAATTGCTTGAACTTGGGAGACAATGGGAGCACTCTTCTTGGCTTCCTTCTGCGCTGGCATGCGTGCTGCTTCCTTTTTGTTCCTCCAGAAATGCTCATTGTATAACCTTGTACGCACACTAGATCCCCTGGTGCACCGTGGTGCTAACACAGCTCCTATTGCCTCTCCACTCCAATGCTGCCTTTGATTGCGTAGTACCACTGTATCTGCTCCATCTTTTTCTTTTCCTTTTAGCAGTGCTGGTGTCCAGTCTGAAGCACGACCATTGTACGCAGGTGTAGGTGGCATGTTGGAATTACGTGAAATGTCCCTCTAATTTCTTTTTTCCTGAATAAGCTAAGCAGAGTGGACTAAAAGTTGACATCTTTAGGTTTGGGGAGAGTACAGGGCTTTTGCCAGCTTTCTTTTATGTGCCAGAGAGTTTATGTGGTGTTGGGCAGCAGTGACTCTAAAAGTGAGTGTGAGCACAAATGCACGTGCTGGTAATTCCTTAGGGGATCTGCGTAACTCATATGTCATGATGGTTGGTATTTTGCAGAGGATCACAGATGTCTTAAAGTATAGCGTTTGGGGAAGAACCAAAGACAACTGTTGGATCTTGGTGGTGCAGACACACAGCTGCCGTCATATGAAAGCTAGTTCAGAACTGTGGCTTGAAGGAGACACAGTCCCCTTGATTCTGTGAGGACTTTCACTTCAGTGATTGCAATGAAAATGGACTTTTGGTTCATTTTGTTCTGAAATTTGGCGTGTAAGCATTTGAAAAGGTCTGAGAACAGGGATCTTAAAGCTGAAAATATTGTTTTGTGTTTTGAGTATTGAGTATTGCAAGTTGTTTTGCTGGGGCTTAAGGTTAGCACCTTCAGGTTAGCCTGTCATTTTGTGGGATTGCAGATCCTCTTCTAGGTGAAAAGTTGGGTTTAAGTACATATGCAATTTCTTTAGAAGATATTATGCACTGGTAAACTCTTATTGTATGAAAAACTGTGTAGGCTGATCAGTTGTTTTCTATACTCATTTTATTCTGTCTTTTATATCACCTGCTATGAGCAATAGATTGTTTTGGATTAATATGTGCAAGTTTGAATTTAGCTGGTTTTTATAGAGTGTTTACTGAGTATTTTTCTATTGGTATGGTATGTAAAAAATACCGTGCGTTAAGGATAATGCTTACTCTACTTTTTATTTCATGAGTTACATAAGTTTCACCAGCTAAATGCAAGAAAAAAGATACTACATTAACCTTAACACTACGTTGTGTCAATTCAGTGTATTTTATGAAGCTGTGTGTTACATAGTGTATGTTTTTAGCAGAACCACACAACTGCAAGGCTACTTTTGCCACTAAATGTAGTGCTCCTCCATTCTTTTTGATGATTTGTATTCATTTTGGGGTTATAATGTTAAACAAGGGAATCAGACAAGTTTCATAACACATTTACTGTAACATGATACTGTGAACTAAACTTGCTGTTATTTATCTTTTTTTTATATTTTCTCTTGTTCCAGCATAAAGCCAAGGTAGAAGCAATGACCTTAGACCTTGCTTCTCTTCAGAGTGTGCAGCACTTTGCTGAAGAATTCAAATCCAAGAATGTGTAAGTACTCAGAAAATTACATGTAATAATTTCTTGTTATTTTAATGTCTTTATCAGCTGAGCACAGTTGGCAGAATTCACCATAGTTGGACTGATCAGCAACTACAGTTAGTGAATAATCTTTTTACAGGATTTTTTTTAACATAATATTAAAGATTATTTGTTTTCATCTTAAAAAAAAAATAATTACAGATCTCTCAATATTCCATGTGTAGCCCCAGCCTGAAAGGGGGCATTGATACCCCTGTGGATGTTGAAAAAGGCCAAAGCTGAACTGCATAAAAACCAGCTCAGGCAACTTCTGTCAGTTTTACAGTGGTTTGGAAGAGGTCAGGGATGAGCAATTAGTGCACTCCTTGTCTTGCTTGCTTTTCTAACCTTCTCTCTCTCTCTTTTTATTTTTAAAGCATTTTAAAAAAATAGCCCTGTGAGCCAGACAGCTCCATTTTCCAGACCTGTATCTGGAATCGTCCATAATTTAAAAAAAAACAAAAAAAAGAAAAAAAAGAAAAAGGGGGAGGGATGTGATGGCTGACATCACTTAACAATAGACCAATTTATATGGAGATAATCAGGTTAATGTCCAAATGGTTTGTTTAATTTAGCTTGAACAGAACAATGAATCTCTAAATTGAAGAAATGATTTGAAATCTTTAAGTGTGAACTCTTGACAATAAATTCCACACTTTGTGCTTTTATCCACAGTTTGACCCATTGATTGTTGTGACTATTCAAACTTAGCTTTTTTCTGCAAATATTTCTGTAATGCATATACATCTTACTGTACTTCTCAAGAGAATATGGCCTCTTAGACAGCTTTGAAAATATATTGTCATAGGGAAAATACATAAAAAAGAATGTTTTTTCACTTTTGAAATACTGCCAAAGCTAAATCTCACATGGATAGACAGATGACATTTTAGTACTTATAGGTCTTTTAGATTCAAAGAATTGTCAAAACTGTCTTCTAACACAAGTTCCTTTACTGCCAAAATCCTTGGTAACAGTATTTTCTTATCATATATCATCTTCATATATTAAAACTTTCTTGAAATAGAAAGACAAATCCTTGCAGTATTGCTGCTTTAATACTAACTCCATTTCATAATATAAGAACGGTTAAGTGTTTTAATTTAGCTTCTTCATGCTTTTAATATGCTACATTTCTTTAAAAATTATATGATACAGTGAAAAGTTAAACCCACCCTTCTTCCAAATGCAGCTCTTAATTTGATTTGTGTGTTGCAGATCCTATCATGGTCATCCTAGCTAGTCCATTTGGTATGCATGTTTATAAATCCTTAGAAGTGAACACACTTAAATCAATTTTTGCCAGAGAACTTAGAAAATGAGAAGATACAGAATCAGTAAAGATATAGAATCAGTAAAACCTGTTTTACTTTTGGTGGCATACATTGTTTTTCCAGCGTAGGTCTGTTAAGCTATACTGTCAGTGATGGACAGGTTTTACTAATGTATCACCCTCATTTTATTTGGAAAAATTTTAGTAATAGACAGCATTTATAGCCTCTGCCTTGCCTTCAGGTACTTCTGTCTCGAATGTGCTCAGATGTGTGTGTGTGTCTGGCAGGACTACTCCAAGCATTATAGGAAAGTCTAAGGTCTGTATCTGTTGTGAGGCTTGTGGGGTTTTGACCAAAATGAATTTCCAGTTATATTTTGTTTAAAGTCTGAGGCTGGATGGAAACCAGACCCCACACACTGCCTGTAGCAGTAGATCTTTTATCTGATACAGATACAGAAGAGTTACCTTACAATCATCTGCACTGGCGGGAGAATGGACTGGAAGACCTACTAGGTCTTTCTGGCTCTGATTTTTTGTGATTTAACTATGTCTGGATATGGTCAGAAAAGCAATTATATGGCAGTAGCATCTTATTACTACAATGCTAGCCCTATGTCTTTTCCAGACCTGATGTACACTAACTACCTTTGTCTCTTCATTTATTTGTTTTGCCATAGTGTCCAGAGGCTTTTGTCAGACCAGTGATTCCTTTGCATTAATAGCTTTATGAGCAATTGAAAGAAATCTTACAGGCTTCAGTGACAGACGGAGTCTTGTTCTTTACGCTTTGGCAAGTCTGTCAGCTGGTAGCCTAACTTTCTTAAAAGGCTTTCATATCTCTGATTTCATGCACCTGTAGGAGAAGGCATACTATGATACGCTCTCCCCAGTTCCCATGAGGTAGCTATTAATCCTATTAATGAGCATAGGAAAGTCATTATAAGTATAGAGTTTTCTTTCTTACAAAATCTCTTACAAATTCCCTAACAGTAAAGTAGTAGGAAAAGCAAATGAAGTGTTTGGGTTTTTTTCTAAACAAAACTATCATTTCAGTTCTGAGTTGTATAGATATTGGTTTCTGGGAGAAAACTACAATAATTTTAAAGTGTGAAGGAGAAATTTTATATGAATGCACACATTTTAATAAAGATCTGTATTTTTATTTCCCACAACACATTCTGTGAGGAGGTCTTTAGTATTCAGTGGTGAATATCTTAAACTTCTGGGTGCAGATAGTTTTATTGTCTGTTTAATTTCTCCAGTCCACTATTGCTTTCTGGGACACTTTGGTATTCTACAGAATCTGTTGGTCTTGGTGGCACCTGACCTAATATCTGAAAATTTATAAAACAGAGAATAGATTTGCTTGTCTTTTGAAATTCTGCTTTTCTGGGACACTTTGTGGCTCTAGGACTAAGATGGAACTACTCCAGAAAAAGGATCCCTAAATTTCATTGAGTTACAACATCAAAACCTATTGCAACTGGGGAAGGTGGTGGTGGTGGGATTGCAGGGAACAGAGGAAAAACTGCTGAGATTGTAAATCTCCTGCCTTAATCAAATAACTTCTAGAGAAAAAAAAAAAAAAAAGTCTTCTTGAATGTGCTTGAGAATCTGAGAGATTCTGGAAACTACCTGAAGAATGAAGAAATTTCATCC